ATACTATATATTTTTTTTGTCAGGCTTCTTTCATTCAGCATAATTATTTTGAGAATCATCCATGTTGTATCAATAGATTGTCTTTTTTGGGGGGGGGGTCTGGCTTCTTTCACTCAGCATAATTATTTTAAAAATCATTCATGTTGTTGTAGCAATATCTCATTTTTAAATATTCTTTTCTATTTCTGAGCAGTATTCTTTTGTAAAGATATTTATTTATCCATTCACAAGATAATGGACATTTGGTTATTTATGGTCATTACAAATAAAGCTGCTATGAACATTCACGTATAAGTCTTTGAAAGAAAATATGCTTTCTTTTCTCTTGGGTAAATACCTAGGAGTGGAATGGCTAGATCATATGGCATGTATATCTTTACCATTTGATAAGAAACTACCAAATCGTTTTCTAAAGTGGTTGGACTATTTTATATTTCCACCTATAGTGTATGAAAGTTTGTTATATCCTTACCAATACTTGTTACTGTCAGTCTTTTTAATTTTAGCCATTCTAACAGGTGTGTAATACTATCTCATTATGGCTATAAATTACAATTCCCTAATGACTAATATGCTGACGTATTTTCATGTACTTATTTGCCATCCATATATCTTTTTTTTTTTTTAAGATTTTTATTGGGGAATTGGGGGATGGGAACAGCGCTGGGGAATGGGGGAAGGGGAACAGACAAGTTGCTGTCCTTTTGTTCTTCAGTCTAGTTGTGGAGGACGTTGCTTCACTGGCCCAAGTTGGCATCATTGTGCTCTTCCCGGGCGAGGCAGATCAGTTGCTGGCTTCTGCACGGCCGCTCACACTGGCTGCTGGCTACACACAGTAGCCCATGGCAACCCACTGCAGCAGGGGCTGCAGCCTACGCCGTCGCCGGCGACTCACAGCAGCCCAGCTCCAGGTTGAGCTGTTGCTCAGCATCTTAGCTGTGGAGCGCAGTGTCACTGGCCCTCATATGTGGGATCCGAACCGGGGCCCTCTGATGTCCCAAGCCAGCTCTTAACCAACGTGCCACTCGGCCAGCCCGTCATCCATAGATCTTCTTTGGTGAAGTATCTGTTCAAATCTTTTAACATTTAAAAAAAATTACTATTGATTTTTGAAGATATATATATGAGAATATCCAAGATACAGTCCTTTATAGATATATACATAGTAAATACTTTCTTCGAGTCTGCAGCTTGTCATTCTCTTAACAGTGTCTTGGTCAAGATGTATTATCCTTTTGTATATATTGTTGGATTTGAATTTATAAAATTTTGTTTAGAATTTTTTCATCTTTATTCATGAGGGATATTGGTCTGTAATTTTCTTTTCTTATAATATTTCTGTATGGTTTGGTATCAGAGCAATACTGGCCTCATATAATGAGTTAGAAAGTATTCTTTCCTCTGCCATTTTCTGGATGAATTTTGTAGAACTGGTACTATCCCTTCCCTGAATATTTGTAGAATTCAATAGTGAAGTTATCTGCACCTAGAATTTGTGTGTGTGTGAGAAAGTTTTAAACTACAAATTCAATTTTTGTAGTAATTATAGGGTTTTCACGTTTTCTATTTTTCCTTGAATGAGCTTTGATAGTTTGTCTTTCAAGGAATTTGTCCATTTAATTTAAGTTGTATATTGGCACAAGTTGTTTATTATATTCCCTTATTATTTGCTTTAGCTGTAGAATCTATAGCGATGTCACCTCTTATTCCTGACATTATTAATCTATGTCCTCTCTTGGTTTTTTTCCTGGTTAGTCTGGTTAGAGATTTACCAATTTTATTGATATTCTCAAAAAAAACCAGCTTTTGGTTTCATTGATTTTCTCCATTGTTTTTCTGTTTTCTATTTCACTGATTTTTATTCTGATAATTTTTATTTTCTTATTTCTGCTTTTTTTCTTTTTCTAGTTTCTTCTGGTGGAAGCTAAGGTTAAGACCTCTCTTCTTAATATAGGCATTTAGTATTATAAAATTTCCCCTAAGTACTTACTGCTTTAATGGCATCCCACAAACTTTGACATGTTTTCATTTTTATCTAGTTCACCATACTTTCTAAATTCCCCTTTGATTTCTTCTTTAACCCATGAGTTAAAGAAGTCTATAATTTAGTTTCTAAACATTTGAGGGTTTTCCAGAGATATTTCTGTTATTGATTTCTAATTCAATTCCATTGTGGTCAGAGTACATTTTTTTTAAAATTTTACTGGGGAACTGTTTTTTTCCAGGACCCATGAGCTCCAAGTCAAGTAGCTGTTTCAATCTAGTTGTGGAGGGCGCAACTCAATGGCCCATGTGGGGACCAAACCAGCAACCTTGGTGTTATGAGCACTGCACTCTAACCAACTGAGCTAACTGGCCACCCCCAGAGTACATATTTTGTATGACTTGAATCCTTTAAAAGTTATCGAGACTAATTTTATGTCCCAGGATATGGTCTGCCCGGTAAATGTTCTGTGTGCACTTGGAAAGAATGTATGTTCTGCTCTTGTAGGGTGCAGTGTTCTATAAATGCCTGCTTGTTCTATCCATTATTGAGAGAGGGGTATTAACACTTCTGACTATAATTATTGATTGCTCCTTGCAATTTTATCAGTTTTTGCTTCATGTATTTTTAAACTTTGTTACAAGATGCATAAATGTTCAGGATTGTTGTGTCCTCAAAGTATTGACCCTTTTAAATTATAAAATAACCTTCTTTATCCTTGGTAATAGTCTTTGCTCTGATATGAACATAGCCACTCCAGCTTTCTTTTCAGTAGTTTTACAATAGTATACATTTTTCCATTTTTCTTCTGGAGGGTAAATTGGGATTGATTGCCCTTGGGAAGCAAAAATACAGAAAAGGATAGAAGCAAAAGGTGAACTCATATTTCATTGCTTGTAAAAAGTACTGCAGGTTACCAGAGGCCTTTAAGGGAAGTGTTGGTTGATTTTTGTTCCTTTCCATCTTAGGATAAACTAAACTTTATTGCCTAGCAGAATATAAGGCCTATAAAAACTGTTCAGAACACAGTTACATGTGTAAGTTATGAGGACAGTATATTCATTTCCTGCATGATCCTGTTCTGAAGACTTGTAAAATTAAATTTAAGAAAATCATGGCAGTCTGGACATTAAAGACATCCAGGCATACTCTGCCATCAGTAACAGTTCCCCCATGATTAATGGGGAGAAAGAGAAGGAAATCAATAAAGCAGTACTCTAAATTAAAAAATAAGTTGAATCAGTATTCTCTTCCCCTTAACCAACTATAAAACAAATAAACAGAAACCTGAGTGAGACGTGGGGCAATGACTGAAAAAAGCATCTTGAATGAGTCAAACATATCAACCCATTAATAGCTTTCTAGAATAAATTTTATATGGACATTTTATTTTTTATTTTTTAAAAGATTTTATTGGGGAATTGGGGGAGGAGAACAGCGTTGAGGAATTGGGGAAGGGGAACAGACAAATTGTTGTCCTTTTGCTCTTCAGTCTAGTTGTGGAGGACATCACTTCACTGGCCCATGTTGGTATTATCATTGCGCTTTTCCCAGGTGAGGCAGTTGCTCGCCGGCCATTGGACAGCTGCTCACGGCAGCTCACTAAAGCTCATGCCCGCTGCCGGCGAGCCCCACTGCGGCCTACGCTGTTGCCAGCGACTCACAGCAGCCCAGCTCCAGGTCGAGCTGTTGTTCACCATCTTAGCTGTAGAGGGCGCAGCGTCACTGGCCCTCATGTGGGATCCGAACCAGAACTTGCTGCTCAGAGCTGGCGTCCCAAGCCAACTGATAACCAAAGCACCACTTGGTTGGCCCTATATATGGTCATTTTAAATAGCATTTTTAATGGAGATATACTTCCTGTAACATAAATTCATCATTTTAAAGTGCATACTTAAGTAGTTTTTAGTATATTCAATATGTTTTGCAACCATCACCAATATCTAATTCCAGAACATTTCCATTCTTTCTCTCAAAATAAACAAACAAACAAAACAGACAAAAAAAAAACCTTTACCTATTAGCAATTAGTCTCAATTTCCCATTTCTCCCACCTCCTGGCAACTAGTAATCTATTTTCCATCTTTATAGATTTGCCTATTTTGAACACTTCATATAAATGGAATCAGACAACACGTGACCTTTTGTGTCCATCTTCTTCCACTTATGTCTTAAAGTACATGGTGAATTTTATCATACTCATCATTCAAAGACATGTTATTTGACTATAATAAAACCATTTGCTCAAAGTGGTAATATTTATGCGAAATAATTAGGAGAGATTCAACCTACAGTTTGAAAGACTCTAGTTCGAGGACTGACTTCTTCCACCTTTAACTTCTGAGGACTTCAGTCTACTCTGTTGTACAATATGGATGTTAGATGAGATGATATCCAAGTTATCTCTTTTTCATTCCTATTACTCCAGAAATCTCAGAGATACAGAGACATACTGCTTGTTTTCAGGGAAAAAAATAATTGTTGCAAAATTAATTAGTAGATTTGAAAATTTTAGTTCTTAACTTGATCTGGAGACAGGGAATTTGGGATAGCTGCTATCAATATAACACTTTGAGCTGAATATAAGCTCAAGAATTTAACACCAGTTTTGTAATCAGGAGAGAAATATAACAAAAGACAGCTTGAGCTGTTTGTAGCAGTCCAAATCTAAAAAGAGATAATGTAATCAATGATTTCCTCTGTGACATCCTTCCTGATAAAAAGCTCCATGCTTAAAACTATTAGAAAAATGGATGTATGCATGATGCTTTTATATTTTTATTTGTTTTTCTCATTCACTACAATATCTCCACTATGTAGGATAATGTCAGGTGCAGGGTTGGCACTCCATAGTCAATATTTGTTAATATTCAATATTTGGGTGGATGGGTGGCTGGATGGAAGCCATATAACTAAAGACTGATCTAAGAGTTTAGGATAAAAAAGACATGTTGAGTTTTCTTTTCCATCCTTTCTAACAATGGGTAGAATAAACATAAAATGTTAAAAACAGTGGTTCAGAACTAGAAATGTTTATTTCATTAATTTTGATACAATGGTAGATACAGTACACTTAATATGCTGCTTTGTTGCAGAAATTAATCAGCACCAGTTTATGGTTTCAATTATACAGAACGTACTGCTAATGAAAACACATGTCTATTCTTTTTAGCTGTATTAAAAATAAGCAAAAACAGAAATGTAATTAAATGTCACCTGGTTCATTTTTACCACTCCTTGGAAGGAGACAAAATAATTATATCATTTTTAAGTCTATGTATAGCAGATATATGTTGTATACATGTATATGTTTGTTAAAGACCAAAATCACAAGACTCTGAAAAGCTGCACACTACTTTGCTGGGTTGATGCCCTTCAATAAAGTGGGTCTTTTCCTGAGTTTGTATTCAAGTGTGGGGAGAGGGGGTAGGTGGCATTCAGGTCCTTCTTTCTGGTGCTCCCCTTCTTAGCTACCACCAGTCCCCATCTCTTCCTACTCAACCCTTCCCTTCTCTCTCCCTTTCCTCGTCTGTAATCTCCCATTCCCATTCTACCATTACTTCATTTCCTTCCTTCCTGCTCCCACCGGAAATTGAAGAGTGACAGTTACCAATCAAAGTGGAGAGAACCAAGATAATAATTTACTTCTCCCCACCCAGTTAAACCCAATCATGAGAAAGAAATGAAGGTCATGATGTATACTACCCAGCACCCACACTTGCCTGAAATTTTATTTGTATCTTCTTTCAATTACTTGGATTTTACCACTTGATTAATAATACCTTCATGATAAGGAATATTTTTAAACATTCTTCTGGTTGCTATAAAAAAAAACCCCAAAATAGTCTTTCTTTGTGCTAACATTGCAATTACACTTAAATATCACTATCATTGAAAAATGTATAATAAAATCTACCAGGTCAACCAGATTCTACATACTAGTTGCCATGGTTCTGGATTTCCAGTTTTAAAGTTAACATAGTTTCAGAGTTCCCATAGGAAGGAGTGGCCCTTGAATTTCTCATTCCTTGAACTTTTACCTCCCATCCTAGGATGTAACCCTTGAGATAAACTACTCTTTGTTTATCTGGCATCACACCTTTCCACACAGCGGAGACCAGCGGATCAGAGGGGATTGGAACTGGTCTGGAGAATGGGTTTTACATCTTTTGGTTAAGCACCAGAGACCGCTTGCATCATACAGGAGACCTGTATATTATATCAGCCCAGTACCTACTTATGATATCTGAAGTAAGGAGTCTCCTGACTCCACAATGATGTTTAACTTTATTAAGAGGTAGAATGTCTAAATCTTATCCCAGCCTCTCTTTGTAAATATTTCTATTAACCAACATATTGATCAATGAGCAGAAATAAAACAAGTTTGTCATGTTTTACTCACATATCCAGAAACCAGACTGAATTTCCTCAGTCTTTTAAAATTTCACTCAACTTGTTACTGTTAATATAATAAAACCTGCACCAAAGCTTCGGTCTATGTGGTAACCTCATTTCGATTCTGAAGTTACACTGGTGCTCATATAGCAAGTAACATTTGGCACAACCATATTTTTTAGTGATTATGAAAAGAGGAAAATTTTGAGGAAATGTTTCAGAAATAAATTTCTGATTTCCTGTAATTAAACCTTGATTTCAGAAGGAATTTCTTATAAGGCTGCAACTTGCTTCAGTGTTACAAAAATGTTTCACCCAGATGACATTATAAATTAATAAGGTAACTTTGCATTAGAGAATCAAGTTAATGTGGCATTTCTACAAATATTAATAAAGACTTAAGGGCTCAAAATTATATCAGAATCCTTTCTGAGGATATAGACTTTCAAGAGCTCTGTTTTCAGTATTATTTTTCTTCATTCATCAGCTTTGTTCATTGGGACACTTCTGAGGAGGCATATTTTTCTTCCATATATTAACCATCACTTATATAGACTCTTTATTCCAAATGTCTTTGAGAAATGCTGGTCACTGCTACAAACACAAATGAAGGCAGGCTCATGTTACTTCAAATTTTTCATGACTCTGTAAGGCTGGGGAAACCCATAATTAGCCTTGGAATGGTACAATGCCAACAACTCTTATTGAAAAAGGAGGTGTGTCTCATGAGTAGTGATGAGTAGGCCTCTGAAGTACAGGTAGCCCCTGAATTCTTACCTGAACTAGAGCTTTGCAGACGAGCTTCCATCAGCAAGATTCTTCCATCTAAAGCTTTCCTTTTTCACCACAGAAAATTCTCCCTGGGGTCATCTTATTTCAGGTTTCATATTTGAAAGGGCTCCCAAGGGACAAAGCAACCCTTTGCAATTCAACCTCGATTTAAAGAACTGGTAGGGTTAGTTTCACTCAAACAGAAGAAGTAGAAGCACCTGCAATACTGGTTTCAGAATGGACTCACTTAAGGTCTTGGGACCAAAAAAACCCAAAGCCCATGAAATTGGTGCTGACTGAGATATGGAGTGGAGTTGCAATGGGGATCTCCTGGAACAAGCAAACCTTGTACCATTTAATACATCAGGCATTTATTTTAAAAGGGATTGAGATGCAAGAATTGTATCTCTTCCTGTAAGAAATATTCATGTATCAATATTCCTGGAACTATTCATTGATGTTCCTTTTTCACTAGATGGAATCCCTCATACACTACAATAAAAAAAGAAGTACCAAGTCAGTCATGCACCTTATTTTCTATTGAGCAATATGCACAAATTCTGTAAATAAATAGGTAAGAAATCCCATTGGCACCTGGAAGGCCAGTGACATTTAGAGTTTCCGGGAGCACACATAATTGTGAGGCTTGCCCTTCCTACAGTCCTTTGTTTGCCATTTTCCTTGTCTTTGAACCAAAACACAGTCCTTGCCAGGCTTTAAACGTTGAGGGGGCCCTCTCCTCCAGTTGGTGAAGGTGACAGGTTCACCACTGATCCACTCCCAGTAGCCAGCTCGCACTTGGTCATTCAAACCTAATGTGAACAAAAGAATGTGCCAAAGCATTTATCACCTTTACACTTGGATATCATATCAGTCTATTGCTCTAGGCTCAGTAATTACATGTAAACATGGTCTTACGCTCTAAACCATGGACTAGAACCTGGGAATCCTATAAGATGCAACTAAGCACATGAGGCTTTGGGTTCAGGCAGGTCCGAATTCAGATTCTAGCTCCACCCCTTGCTAGGTCAACAAGCATCTTTGGGCAGGTTACTTAACCGCCTTAAGTTTTAGTTCCCTCATCTAAGAAATAGGAATAAAAATTGCATAACTAGAGTTGTTTTTGAGAGTTAAATAAGATAATGCATGTAAAACACACAGCATAGGCAGCTGTCTAATAAACAGCAATCATTGTTCATATTATCCTACAGGCAGAGCTTCTATCTCAGGGACACAGAAACATTCTTGTCTATTGTTCTTCTTCCTCATTACTTAAATGTCTTTGTTTTCATATGTGAAAGTAGCTTCCTAAGAATTATTTTTAGTCTAGAGCTAAAGACTTTTTTCAATCTGTTACAATTCCAATCAAAAGCAGCTTTTCTCCACTTGTCTCTTTACTCCCACTGGCAATTTTTGCAAATTACACTTTAATGTTGTAAAGCTCTGGTAACTTTTCTTAAAGAAGCATCCCTCCTCCTCACTGTCTTTCAGAAGAGAAATAAAAAGAGTAAGCTGAGAAAAGGACCCCTGCATAGCATAATCTGACATCTCCCAAACCAAATTTGACTGTGAAAACAGTCTTAGTTACATAGCATATAACCTCCCAACTGAGTCTCAGTCAATTTTTTGGGGATAGAATGAAATGAAGTCATTTGGGTTAGAAATAACGTATCTTCTTCTGGGTTGTTTCCTTGAATTATTGATCAGGTAATGCTATGCCTAAGTATTTTGTGGGGATAGAGTCTTAAAATCAGTTGCGGTGGTTGCAGAGAAAACTTACCCTCCAACCTTAACTTAATACTCTCATAATTTCAGAATTTAGAGACTCACTGAGTATTAAAGAGATTTTGAGAAGCCCAAGAATGGGTTTAGGAGAGTTCCCTGAAACACAGCACCTTTAAGGTGAGATAATGAGAATACTGATGTGCCCTGAGAATGCTATTATATTTAGAAAGCGGCTTGAAAGTATTTATGTTAAATTTGTAGGAAATATTAAAATTTCAGAAAACAAGGGATAAAATTAAAATCACCTATAATTCTCACCTGGAGGTACAACATTTCTAACTCTTTGGCATATTTCTTTTTATAAATGTATGTATATGTATATATGTATATAAATGTATAAATATACATATCTAATGAATATAAATTTCTTTTTTATTCTAAATTATTTCATGCTTCATATGGCTATAGATGCTGCTTTCTTACTTAGTACCTTATCACAAATGCAATACATTGCCTATTTTATATATAATATTCATCCAACATATATTTATTGAATAAAATAAGAAACATAAGGCATTTTGTCATGTCTTTAATATTTAATATCTTACAAAAGCATGAAATATTTAATATTCCTTTATATGATACACTATAATTAATTTCACCATGCCCTATTTATAGCTAATTCTAATGTTTTACTTTTAGAAATACCCTTTGTTGAATTCTCTTACCAGTAAACAAAACCACATCCCTTAATATTTCTTTGAAACAGATGTCTAAAAGTGAAAGTATTATGTGATGAAGATGAGTTTTAAAAGATAGACTGTCCACCCATGCAACATTGCTTGTCAGTATAAAACCACAATCATTTGGTCCACAAAAGAGAGATGTTCTCTTGGTGTCATGCCTTTTTTCTCAGTACAGCACAGATACTTGCCTATCCAAAAGGGCTTCCTCCCACTGAAGTCCCAGAGCCATCGCATATGCTGCCTGGACAGGACAGTTACAAGGGTGCCCAGGTGACTACACAAAAATGAACGAAAATGAAAGCATCAGTGACAAGGGGTTCAACATTTTTGCTAATATGATGTGCATATCAAAATCAGTTTAAAATAGAAAAAAGGACATATGTAGAAGGAACTTTCCAAGATTTTAATACTTTTTTTTTGTTTTTTGTTTTTTTCTTTTCTTACTTTAACGAGTATATGCAGGGTGGGGTAAGTGACCAGCAAAGGAAGTAATATTCTATTATAATATCTCGGCTTTACACCATAAATTCAATAGGTTTTAAATATCTTTTTGAAAATCAGCAACTGCTTTCTTATAAAGATTAATTACTCAATGCCAAAATATTACTCCTCTCATAGGAAGTTTAACTCTAAATGGCATAAATTTGGTAATTATCTAGTTAATTTGATCAGTAAGGTAAACCAAACCATTCAGATAAAATTAGTTGAGACTACATTTTGAGCTTGGTGTGTTTCGTCAAAAACCCTGATAACTGTGATCTTTTTATCATACTCAGTAAAATGAGGGTGGCCCCACTGTCAAACCTTTCTAAGTAGAAGTTAAAGTACCTGTTCCTATAAACATATATTTTCCCCAGATAATAATTTTTTTATAAGTTTAAGGTATATAGCATAATGACTTGACTTACGTATATTGTGAAATAATTACAACAATACATTAGCATACATCATTTCGTATAAATACCAAAAAAGACCAAAAAAATGTTTTTTTCTTTGTAATGCAAACTCAGGATTTACCCTCTTAACAGTTTTCACCTACAGCAGTGTTAGCTATAGTCATGTGTTCTACATTACATCCCCAGTACTTATTGATGTTATAACTGGAAGTTTGTACCTTTTGATTACCTTCTTTCAACTCTCCCACCCCACATCCTCCACCTCTGGTAACCCCAAATCTGATCTCTTTTTCTATAAATTTTATTTTTGTTTTTTGTTTGGATTCCACATGTAAGTGAGATATAGTATGTCTTTCTATGGTATATTGAGCAGAGCATAGGAGACCTGGGTTCCACTTCCTGCTGTGCCCCTATTTCCTTTATGGATGTAACTCCAGCCTCATCATCCTCAGGAAGTAACGGGTTTTATTTAGCATCTCCTCCTGCTTTAAGACTCATGAAACTATCTTTAAAAGAAACTGTAAAATCCATTTTAGTTGGTCAAGCATAAGTTTGATTTTCTTTTTGACTCTGAGAAGCAAAAAGTCCCCAAAAAGCAAGATGAGAAAATAGCTGCGTTTAGGATAGGTAAAGTGTGAGACCGCAGTTACTTATAAAAATAATTGGCATTTATATGTTGATTATTTTATAAAAATATCATTCCTTTTATGCTTGCATACATAGAAAGTACAATGAATATTAGATAGATATGTATATAGAGACATAAAACTAAAATATAGAGACACAAATAAAAATCTTTTGACGGCTTTGAAATTTGAAGGCATTCAAAGTGTAGTATTAAAAACAGAAACCTTAATTTTTCAAGTTAAAGAAATAAACATTTACTTCTTTGAAACTTTTTGATTAAGTATAGATATATTTCAGAGTAACTCTTTAAGGATAGGTCAGCAGGGGTTCCAGACACTCCTGTGGAAAAACAAAATGGTTTCATAGATAATGATCTATAATAATACAATTACCAAATGTACAACGACTGCCTAAGGAAATGAGCAGATGAGATTACAATATGTAAATCCAAGAAATACCTAATCTATGAGTCTAGCTCCTCTGGGCTACAAAAATAATAAAACACCAATGGGGAGGAAAAGAGATTGGAGATAAAGATTGACTTGAGTTAGCAATCTGATTAGGGATAAGGGATAAAGTAAAATTTGCTGTTTTTCTTGAAACATGGGTGCTATAAATGACCCTGTAAAGGATCTTTAGGTAGCAAGGGAGCCCAGGAAAACAGAGCCCAGAACTGAATAATGGTCCCTGAGGCCAAATCAAAGATATACTAGATGAATATAACTTCTAATTATAGAATCTAAAACCATTTTCCTAAAAATACTTTCTTTACAAGAAGGTAAATATCCAGGTTATGAAATGTTGAAATTATAAATTTTACATCACAGAAGGAATTGATAATTCCAAGAGGAATACTAATTTTTCAAGCCAAAGAGGCTAGAGAAGAATAAAATGACCCTGAAAAGTAACGGGTGAAGGGAAGCAGGGAGGCCCACAGGATGAATAAAAACATTTTGAAAGGTGGGGAAGGTCTTGGGGTTCAGAGAAAAATTGTACTAAGAAGGTAGCCTTGCTGCCCAAAAATGTTCCTTGTAGAATGACTGATCCAAAGGAATATGGAGATCTTTTATTTTTCTTTTAGTCTGCTTTTCATCTGCACCTAGACAGTTTCTGAAATGCTTCTAACTAGTATTAACTATTCTTGGGGTAATCATTCTTGTTGTCCTTCTGAAATAAAGTGCATATTGAAGTATCATACAAATGTAATCAGATCTAGTATTCATATCCATTCTTCCCATTAAAATTTTAAAATGAGAAGCTTTTTATGATATTTTAAAAATCTCATACCATATATGTTTTCTTTGCCTCTTTCACACAGTCTGGAATACTGTCAGAAATGGTATTTGCCAGATGTTTTAATTTCTGGATCAATATGGTGAATTGACAATATGTAATTTGAATTTATATTACTGATAAATACATAATTAGTCACATAAAATATGAAAAAACTCCAATTGTCTTTAAAAAATTTCTTTTGTTCTGAAAACTTTTTCAGTTTTACATCTAAAAAGAAGTAACTGTTCTATCGCTAAAACAATTCTGAGACCAGAATTTATAAAAATAACTTGAAAATATATGAACAAATTAGTTTTGAACCTATTTATAATATCATGTTTGTTTTGCTAGATATGATCAGTAACCTCCTTGAATTCATAGGAGAGATGGAGATTTTACATTTTTATTATAATAGTTTATTTTAGAATAAAATATCTTTCTATTCATACTATTTCTAAATACAATTTATGTGTTATATACTCAATCAACAAATATTGCTTGTAACTCATATTATTACATTTAGGTCCACAGAACTTCTTAATTGAACCTATAGTAAGATATCAACTCCACAAAAGCTAAATTCTGTAATTTAAATTTAGCAATTTTTATATTCTTGATAGAACTTTGTGGGAAGGGGATGTGGAGGAAATTACCAGGATAGCATGACAACTTTAATGGTGTAAAATGCAGGGTTTAGGGACTTGCCATATAGGACAACTAGATGTAGAGAGTTATGGTGTCTATATCTCTGAAGCTCATTGATGAATGAGGAATGATTTTGTTAATGAGTTGCGGGGCCAAGACTGGGGAATAATACTTAAAAGTGTGGTCTAGTCTATAATAATGTCCAAATAAATATTTATTGAATGAATGAATCTATAAACTCAGAACTTGATTGTACCTTAGTTTTGTCCTGAAATGTTACTTTGATTCTAATCCAAAGGAATTTAGAATCCATAACTTAATAAAAACCTTAATATGTCTTTACTGTGAAAGATACAAAATTAACACATAGTTTTGTAAACCTACTTTAGGTTAGTGCAACACAAAGTTAAAATAGGTGCCCTTGTCAATTCACTTGAGAGGAGATATCACCTATACTTGTAGAACCAATTCTGGAAAGCATAATAGAAAATTAAGTTCTCTCTGTTCCCTTTACTTGCTTGTATGACCACACACAAGTGATATTGCTTCCCTAAATCTCTTCATTTTATCTGTAAAATATAGATAATATTCAGCTTTCCTCACTGAAGTGATGGCAGGATCAAATAAGCTATAATAACATACAGAGGGTGCCAAAAAGATGTATACACATTTTATGAAAGGAAAACTGTATTAAAATTGTAATACTCAACATACACTGATAACGAAAGGTGAATGAATACAAGTCACATTTGACTTCTGCAATTACAAGAGGTGCTCAAAGTGGTTACCATCAGCGTCCAGACACTTCTGATTATGGCGAACTACTGCTTGAGCAACGTTGACCCAAGTGTCCACTTGTATACATTTTTTGGCACCCCTATGTGTGAAGAATTATGTAAACTATAGAGTGTAATATAAAAGTAAGGGCGTCACGCTCTTCCTCTGCGCTGCCTACGGAGGTGGCGCTCATCTTTTACACAGTATCATGGCTGCCCTCAGACCACTCGTGAAGCCCAAGATCGTCAAAAAGAGGACCAAGAAGTTTATCCGGCACCAGTCAGACCGATATGTCAAAATTAAGCGTAACTGGCGGAAACCCAGAGGCATTGACAATAGGGTGTGCAGAAGATTCAAGGGCCAGATCTTGATGCCCAACATTGGTTATGGGAGTAACAAGAAAACAAAGCACATGCTGCCCAATGGCTTTCGGAAGTTCCTGGTCCACAATGTCAAGGAGCTTGAAGTGCTGCTGATGTGCAACAAATCTTACTGTGCTGAGATTGCTCACAATGTCTCCTCCAAGAACCGCAAAGCCATTGTGGAAAGAGCAGCCCAGCTGGCCATCAGAGTCACCAATCCCAATGCCAGGCTGCGCAGTGAAGAAAATGAATAGACAGCTTGTGTGCAAATTGTGTTTTAATAAAACCATAAAATTCTTCCAAAAAAAAAAAAAAAAAGTAAGGGCGTCACTGGAAAGACACATGTAGAATTAGATCAGGTTAGTGTGAAAGGGTTATGGTGTGAAGGTGCTTCAAACCAGGCTGCAGATAAAATCTTAGGTTAAATGCATGAGGAAGTAGCTAGGCTTTTAAGTTAATTTGGGTCTTAAGTTTATTACTGGGATAAGTAAATTGTACAATATTAATAGATATATGAAGAACCTCTTTTGTAACTAGTTTTACCATTAAAACCCAGATGCAATTAGATCAATTAGATGGATCAATAAAATAAAAAATAAAGATTGAGGGGCTAATATACGATTGACAACATGAAAATATCAACAGTATTACTATAAGTTGCCATTGTTTCATAAGAAATTATTTTTGACACCAAAAAGCTAAAAGATCATAATCTCAGAATAAAAAACAGTCCTCCTAAGAAAACACACTTGGTGACCTTACACATTGATGAATGGATGGAAAGATTGTACTCAATACATGTTGTTCTTATTTTTCTCAACACATTAAGAACCAGGTAAAGCTTCATTATAGGACCCTAGATTTCCTTCCACTGTCATAGGAGAACTACCCGAAAATGAACAATAAGGCTGCTTACAAACTTGAGTTTTGGGGGTTCTGTTGCTCTGTTCATCTATATTTTACCAACAGATCACGGCAGCAATTTGATCTGGATAGCCTTGGCTAGAGTATAACTGCACTTTTGTACTTGCCCTCTTTTTTGTCAGTAGAGAAACCATATCTTCCCATCTGTAGCATGTTGCAATCTTCTTGCTAATTGTGAAATCAAAGCTCTTTCCTTAAGGAGGAAAAAAGACCTATCCCACTAATCCTAAGACAAACTTTAAATAAAAGTAGGACCTCTGAACCCTGGACCATCAGAAAGATGAACAAGTGGGTCCTAGAGCAAATTAAGCCCGAAACATTGCTGGAGGCAAAAATGAGAAAACTGAAGCTGTCCTACTTCGGACACATCATGAGAAGGCAGGATTCTTTGGAAAATACAATAATGCTGGGGGAAAAAAAAAAGAAGACAGCAGGAAGAGAGAAAGACCCAGTATGAGACAGATTGACTCCATAAAAGAAGCCAGAGGGCCGGCCAAGTGGCTCAATTGGTTAAGAGCTCGCTCAAGAGCTTGAGCTCTGAGCAACAGGGTCCCCGGTTTGATTCACGGCCCAAGCTGAGCTGCTGCTGAGGTGCCAACCAGTGGCAGGATGGCTCAGCTAAAAAAAGAAAAAGAAGCCAGAGGCATGAGTCTGCAGGAGCTGAGCAGGGAGGGCTGTGAAGACAGAACATTGTGGACATCTCTCATTTATTGGGTCTCAAGGCATCAGAACCAACTCAACGGCCCATAACAACAACAAGGACATCTGGTTATTTTGGTGGAAGAATGTCTTAATTGTTCTATAACATATAGCATTATGGGAATATATGTATTTAAGCAATGATCATTCATAAGATTTTCAAAAAAATTTTTAGCTTATTTTATACCATCAACTTACCAAAAAAAAAAAAAAAAACACCGAAAAAAATTCTGAAAGCCACTGACTAACCGTTATGGTACCTTATACTTATGATATGTGCATCACTGAAGAAAATAGTTGATTTGACCAGTTTTTAAATATACTTTTGAAGTATTCTATTAGCCTTTTTAAAAATCTAGGTATAATTTACATGCAATAAAATACATACATTTTAAAGTATTCAATTTGATGAATTTTGACCATGGTATACGAGGTCAGACAATTAAGTTTGCAAACTCATCCTAGAAAAAGTGCTACATACCTCACTGCTGAATATCACTATGGTCACCTTCAAAGTACTCCCCTTGGGAAGCTATGCACCAATGCCAGTACCTAGTCCACCCTTCAAAGCAATTTTGGAACTCTTTTTCTGGAAT